TTCTTTCTCCTTTTGGATCTTCCTTCTTTTCTCAAACATTAAATACCTAGTGTCTCAGTCATTTGGGGCTGCCATAACAAGCTTCCAGAGAGACTAGGTGGTTTATCAACAATGGAAATTTATTTCTCACAGGTCTGGGGGCTGGGAAGTCCAAGATCAAGGTGCTGGCAGATTCATTGTCTGGTGAGGGCCACTTCCTGGCTCATAAATGGTGCCTGCATACTGTGCCCTCACATGGCAGAAGAGGGGAGGGCAATCTCCTGGATCTCAAGATTTAGATGTTCTATTTATTGAATGTATGCTAGAGCTTACCTTTTAAAGCATCTGATCCTAGTGTTTTCTTTGTGGGAAGATTTTTAATTACAGAGTCTATTTCCTTATGTGTTATCGCGCTATTCAAGTTTTTTTTTCTTGATTCTGTTTTGATATTTAAAATATATTTGTAGTTTAAATTTTCCCAACAAATACATTGGCATCAAGTTATATATATATATATATATTTTTTTTTTTTTAGACGGATTTTCACTCTTTTCCCCCAGGCTGGAGTGCAGTGGCATGATCTCAGCTCACTGCAACCTCTGCCTCCTGGGTTCAAGCAATTCTCCTGCCTCAGCCTCCCAAGTAGCTGGGATTACAGACACGCACCACCACACCTGGCTAATTTTTCTAGTTTTAGTAGAGACAGGGTTTCACCATATTGGCCAGGCTGGTCTTGAACTACTGATCTCAAGTGATCTGCCCACCTTGGCCTCCCAAAAAGTTATTTACAATACTATCTTAATTTTCTTTTTCTTCTCTGCAATGCCTCTACTTTGTCCTCATTTACATTCCTACTGCTTTTAATATGTGTCTTCTGTTTTTCTTTTTTGATCAGTTTTGCTTCAGGTCTGTCAATATCATTTGTCTTTTTAAAGTTCCAACTTTTGGCTTTGTTCATCCATGATTCTGCCTGTTGTATGGATATGGCACAATTTGTCTGTTCATTCACCTGCTGGTGAATGTTTACGTTGTCCCATTCTTATTACAGCTTTATCTGAACATCTGTATACAAGTCTTTGTGTGAACACCTGCTTTCATTTCTCTTGGGTGTAAATACCTAGTATTGCAGTGGCTGAGCTGTATGGTAGGTATATGTTTAACTCTTTAAGAAAATTGCCAAATTGTTTTCCAAAGTAGTTGTATCATTTTACATTCCTACCAGCCATGTATGAGAGTTCCAGTTGCTCCACATCCTTTCCAATACAAGATATTGTTATTACTTCGGCTTGGGCCAATTTATTATTTTTCGAAGAGATTTAAATGCCAAAAAAATATTGGTTCTATTTACCCATGTAGTGACCATTTCCAGTGCTGTTGATCTTGGTGTAGTTCCATATTCCCATCTAGTATCATTATGCTTCTGCATGAAGGATTTCCTTTCATATTTTTTGTAGTGCATCTGAGCTTTGTCAGTGACAAATTAAACAACATATTTCTTATAGTGCCTGCAGGTGTGCTGGTGATGAATTCTTTCAGCTCTTATACGTCTGAAAAAACTATATTTCACGTTTGTGTTTGAAAGATATATTTACTAGGTTAAGAATTCCAGGTTGACAGTTTTTTTTCTCTCTCTGTGATTTAAAGATGTTACAACTGTCTTTTAGCTTGTATTTTTTCCCCAAAGAGACATCTGTTGTTATTGTTATCTTTGCACCCCTCTACATAATGTTTTCCCCAACTCTGGTTTTTAAGATTTTTTTTATTAGTGGTTTCAAGCAGTTTAGTTATAATGTCACTTCATGTAGAATTTCATCATTTTTCTTGTGCTCAGGGTTGAGTTCTGTGGATCTATGTGTCTACGGATTTCACCAAATTTAAGTTCAGCCATTACTTAAAATATTTTTTTCTGACCTCCTCTGTTTCATGGGCTCCAATTATACATATACTTGCCACTTGAGGTTTTTCCACAATTCACTGATATTCTACTAAGTTTTTTCCAGTTTTTTTCTGTGTGTTTCATTTTGAACTATTGTTTCTTCAAGCTCCCTAATCCTTTCTTCTGTGGCCTCGAATCTGCTGTTAATACCAACCAATATATTTTTCAACCCAGACATCATAGTTTCACCTTGAGATGTTTGATATAGGTCTTTTTACACCTTTCAAACACTTAACATTATTTTTATTTGATGTAAAACAAGACTTCTGTTTTCTCAAATGAAAAGACCAAAAGAAGAGATATCATGGGATATCACACCTTTCATATGTCTATTTAACATCTTTTCTCTAGTGTCCTTGGATACATTTCACATACCTGTTTCCATGTCCAGGCCATTGCCTTATGATTCTCTTCAACCATAAAGTACCCACAGGGAAGACTTCAGCTTTTGGCCATGAAAGGGTACTCATTACCAGAATTGCCCTCCTTCTGTCATAATCAGAAAACAGCATGAAATACTTGCAACTGATCATTTCAGACAAGGGATAATGGGTGGCACAGGGAGGGGAGCCCAGAGCCAGGCAATCTTGCTGAGGTGAGGGGACAAGACTGGTGACAGGAGGCCATGGCAGCTAGAATTTGCAGGGCACAGTCCCTGAGAGAAGGAAACTACACAGAGAAAGTTCCAGAAAAGTGCATACATTTCTCTTGAGTCTTCGGTTGAAACCAATCCAAACATGTAGAAACCCTGGGGGCACGAGGACAACTTCTGAGGGAAGAACTATGACCAGAGCTCACACAAACCCTCTCCAGGGAGCTACTCAAGTTCCCTCAGTCAGAGAGGAAAAATTACCCAGGGTACAGAAAGTCCTTCTTCCTGAGGGCTCTTTAGCCTGTTCTAGTTGGGGAAGATGGTGGAGAGGAATAAATAACAAAGCTCCGGTCAGTCAGGAACCCCCTCAGCTCTAAAAAGCTACAGGTTACGGTAAGGAGAGGAAAGGGGTTAAGGCAAGGCGTGCTCTCCAGAGGGCTAAAGAAGAGCTATTCTAAGAAGACAAGTGACTTACACATTTGACATTTTATAGAAATGTTAGATTAACTGTTGGGCTGGGCGCAGTGGCTCACTCCTGTAATTCCAGCACTTTGGAAGGCCAAGGTGGGTAGGTCACTTGAGGTAAGGCATTCAAGACCAGTGTGGCCAACATGGCAAAACACCGGCTCCACTAAAAATACAAAAATTAGCTGGGCATGGTGGCTCATGCCTATAATCCCAACTATTTGGGAAGCTGAGGCACATGAATTACTTGAACCCAGGAGGTAGAGGTTACAGTGAGCCAAGATCATGCCACTGCACTCTAGCTTGGGAGACAGAGGGAGCCCCTTTCTCAAAAAAAGAAAAAAAAAAAAAAGCCAGGTGCAGTGGCTCACGCCTGTAATCCCAGCAGTTTGGGAGGCTGAGGCGGGCAGATCACCTGAGGCCAGGAGTTCGAGACTAGCCTGGCCAACATGGTGAAACCCCATCTCTACTAAAAATACAAAAATTAGCCGGGTGTGGTGGCATATGCCTGTAATCCCAAATGCTCAGGAGGCTGAGGCATGTGAATCGCTTGAATTCAGGAAGCGGAGGTTGCAGTGAGCTGAGATTTAGCCACTGCACTTCAGCCTGGGCGACAGGTCAAGACTCTGTCTCAAAAAAATAAAATAAAATAAAATAAAATAAAATAAAATAAAATAAAATAAAATAAAGAATGACTATCATCACACAATGTCGCTGAAGAGACTCTAGGGTTCCTACGGGTGACAAAGTGGTATCTCCTTAGAGACATGTCCAGGGCACAAGAGTGGGTGCATTTAACTATGACACACGTAAGCCCCAAATCAGGCACTCAAGACAGTCAGTCATCGTGTCTTTTAGATATTAAAGAGGGCGGAAAAAGGTATCACTGCTCTTCTCCATGTAACCTGTTTACAGAATGGGAAATGTCAGGCCTCTGAGCCCAAACCAAGCCATCGCATCCCCTGTGACTTGCACGTATCCCAGATGGCCTGAAGTAACTGAAGAATCACAAAAGAAGTGAAAATGCCCTGCCCCTGCCTTAACTGATGACATTCCACCACAAAAGAAGTGAAAGTGGCCGGTCCTTGCCTTAAGTGATGACATTACCTTGTGAAATTCCTTTTCCTGGCTCATCCTGGCTCAAAAATCTCCCCCACTGAGCACCTTGTGACCCCTACTCCCGCCCGCCAAAGAACAACCCCCCTTCGACTATAATTTTCCTTTACCTACCCAAATCCTATAAAACGGCTCCACCCTTTTCTCCCTTTGCTGACTCTCTTTTCGGACTCAGCCCGCCTACACCCAGGTGATTAAAAAGCTTTATTGCTCACACAAAGCCTGTTTGGTGGTCTCTTCACACGGACATGCATGACAGGAACCACAAAGATTCGGGAGGGTGGGGGCACCACCAGGACTTTTAGAGGAGAAAGGAAAGGGTATTTCCTTTGTGGATTTCCAGAAAGTCAACTTTTCTCTGTTGACTTAGCAAATTATCATGTAGCAATCTCAGCACATTATTCCCAGAGTGCCACTTTAAGCATGTGACCAGGACTATGCAGTGACCTGGGCCATCCCCACACACTGTTCAGGTCCTGTACCTGGAATTCCTGCCTGTCCTTAGAGGATGGGGCCAGTGACTTCACAGACCCAGTACCTAACTCTGGACGATCTTCTGGAACTCCGGAGGGAAGCACACCCCCAACTGAGGACTCTGGAGATGTGAGAAGGAAACAGACAGGTGTTCTTTTCTCTATTGAATGCAAAAGCAGTTTTCTTGTAAGATGGGCCTTGGTGATTGTTCTGTTGCTTGGGACCTACTTCCTTTGGTTACCAAATAAGGCTTGAGCCATCACGTTCCTTGTTGTTCTTGGACAAGACTGTGTTATCATCCAGAAGTATTAGGGTGACTTTTCCTATAAGCTGCCGACACTACCAATCCCCACTGAAAAATGATCACATCATGCAATTTCACCAGCCCTCCCCACACTCACCAGGTTTTCAGGAGAAGGAATGTATGTCATGGAAAGCTTGTTAGTGACATGTTTTTGCTTTATTGAAATTCTTTCTTACAAAAGGTCTGATGTATTTTAGGCTAGGCCTAATTTCCTTTAGTCCCTGAAATGCAGGCCCATGGTCATTTCCATGTTCTCTGAAGTAGGAATGTAAACTAGTAGACTTCCATTTTTAAGGTTCACACAGTTTTTAACATTGTTTTTATTTGATGTAAAACAAGACTTATATTTTCCCTAATGAAAAGACCAAGTAAGAGAGTATGTGCGTCTTCATGGAAGCGATAACTGGATTCTTTGCCAGAACCGGGTTGGGAATTTAGTTTGTTCAGTGTGGCATCTTTTATCTTTAGGTTTTTTTTTTTGTTTAGTTTTTTTGTTTTTAATTTAAATGCAAACCTTGCAATGTGCTGAAATATGTAGTAAAAAGTGCTATGTTTATATATGCATACATATATTGGCTCTGACAAGGGATGCATGACTACATGCGTGTTATGTAAACATAGCAATTGGTCAGAAGGAGAGTTTCTCATCATTAGGACATTTAAGGATTAGCAAGCATATTGGAAGCAAGAATGACCTAGGGCCACATTGACTTAGTTGTCAGCCAGGAGTGTTGCTGATCCTATACCTGGAGGGGCCCAGGTCTCTCCCCAAGCAGGCCGGTGCTCACCTGATATGACAGGTGATCATGTATCTGAGGCCTATCAGTTTGAGATTCCCCCAAGGTGCGGTGGGTCTATACTCACTTGCTACCAGGTAGCTCCCCTAGTTCTCGAACACGTGTATGGCCCAGTTCTGCTCCTCATGTAAAAAGCAGAGCATGATCTCCCTATCTCTAGGAGGAGGCTGCAGATTGCAGATTTGTGGCGGCCCAAGGCCCCTTATTCCTACTCCCCACCCCCAGAGGTTATAGGGAATCTTCATTTCCTTCCACCCGTAGGGTTTCCGTTAGGACTTGTGTTTTCCTGACCACAGATCACACCTGAAGAGGCTTGGAAGATGCAAAATCATCACCTCCAAACAGCTGAGACACACATGACTTGGCTTTAACCGTGACTGCCCAGTGCCGGAGCACTGGACTCAGGTTTAACATGGGCAGCCCCCATGTCACCCTCCACATCAGCTTTCCTCCTACACTGACGGTCGGCCTGGAAGCCAATCATGTTTGACCTTGCACTCACACCCTGGAGGTTCTGAAGTATGCAACTTTCTAGTTACATGCCACACTGTCTAGTTACACAAGCTTTTTGCTCAGGCCAAGTAAAGACCATAAGTTCAGGTGGGAACATGGTCTCAGTCATTCTGTCTTCTGACTTGCAGGCTAGGTGAATGGACCAGTGAAGTGCTACCTGGAGGTAAGGTCGTATCCAGACTCACATGCCCTGGACCAATGCAGCTAAGTGGATACATAAATTTAGCACCCAAGATACTATTTAGCCTGCCATGGTAGTCATTCAATGTCAGTCTCATTCCCTTCTCCAAATCTAGCTGGATTCCTGCAGGTGACTTGCATTTCCCTCTTGCCCCTACAGCTGGCTTCTCCTCTATGTCACTTCCTCAAACTAGCAAATGGGGAGCAGAGGCAGAGTAAAGGGGGGAAATTCATCACTTGACATTGCCTCTTGCTGGGGAGGAAGATGTTGAAACTCTTGGACTAATGGAGGTTTGGGAATTGTCTGAAGAGTAAATGATCTGTACTACCACCCATCCCTGCTGCTGCACTTGTCTCTGACACATTCTCAGCATTCACCTGTAACTAAAAGGCCAAAGGGAACTGGGATATTGAGGCCTGGTGCATGGTATTCAGAGGCTGGGCAAAGTGGTGATCCAGTTGACCAGGGCTCCTCATGCAGGAACCTGGTGGAAGAGAGAGATGGGCAGTAGGTCCCAGAGTTACACTTTGGAGCACACGTTCAAGAGGAAAATGACGACTGGCCCCCACGGTCCTGGGATGTGGGATGCAGGTGTGAGGACTGGGAGTGCTGGATGGGGTGTGGCCGAGGCATGGTCAGGGTAGCCCTGAGCCGTGCCCCACCCCAGGGATGCAGGAAGGATGCTCTGTGCGGGACCCCGAGCTTGGGCTCTGCCCACTTTCAGTGTCTGTTGCATGTCACACTGGCATCTTCAGCATGCCCACAGTTTGTTACCCCCCATTTGGAGAAGCTGCAGCGGAAGATAGTTTCCTCTGTGCCCTTGCAGGCGACGTCATCCATCCAGATCCTCCCAGTGCCTGTGGAGACAGGGAAACACAGCTTCTAAGCAGATACACAGGAGGGCAAGAAGGAGAAGAGAGAGCATGACTGTGTCTGCCCTTGACTTGGCTCTGCTGCACACTCAAATCTAGGGGCTTCCAGCTGCCCTCTCCACCTCCCCACAAGACCTCATACTTATTTTCTGGGATTAGTTTCTTGAGGGCAGAATCACAATAATTGATGGTGATGATGGTAGTAGCTATGAATATCGGCTATGTGTCAGGAGCCAGACAACCTCTCTTTTTTAGTGGAAGTGTTAGGACTGACTATTAAAGTCTTAAACTCTGTCATTCACTCTTGAAGTACATGGGCAAAATCCCTTTACAAAGAATGTCAAGAGAACATTTAAACCACTCCCCTGTTGTTTGGTTATAACACATGAACTAAGTGGCTTGAACATATTTTTGTGATGTAGACATTTTCAGCCCCTGTTGTCAAGGGATTGCCATGCAGTGAATCCAGGGTTGGAGCAGGGAGGAGAGGCCCCTTCCACCACCTCCTTGGATGTTGTCTCTTCTCCAGAGCCTCTTCCTGGCCTGGATAGCTGTGGCTCTTACACAATAAGCCCTTTGAGGCAGAGAATGATTTTCAGATTAAACGTCTCCTGGAAGACACATCGGTTTGCAAATTACCCAGGAAAAGGCTGCAAGCTCCAGGGCTCTGTGGGATTAGTCACACCCAAAGCAAATAAAGACTAACAAATAAAGAACAGTTCCAAGGTGACCCAGCCCAAATGCATATATAGGATCTTGAAACTCTAGCTGGTGTTTCACCAGGGGTTCTGGCTCACGTCCAGTCATGCGAGGACCCATACAATGGGAACAGGGTCATCGAGGGAGGAGCAGTGCGTATCTGCAGTGACATCAACACTGCGGGGGATCATTCCCAGAGGAATTTGCCAGCAAACCCTCTCTGCTCCTCGCACCACCAGGCAGAGGCTAGAACTCCCATCGGCTCTGGCTACCAATCATTGCTTGAGCTTTAGAACTGATAGCTGATTACTCAAGGTGCAGTCTGAGGACCAGTGCTGTCAACATCACCAGAGAGCTTGTTAGAAAAGCAGACACACAAAATCTTCCCTCAGCTTAATCTCTCCCAACTCTAGGTTCCCACACTGCCCCTAACCCCGCTCGAAGCAGCCCTGAGAAACATCGCCCATTATCTTTCCATACCATCTCCCAAAATTTTTGCTGCCCCAACACTTCAACACTATTTTATGTTATTTTTCTTATTAATGTAAGAAGACAGGAATGTCAAGCCTCTGAGCCCGAGCTAAGCCATCATATCCCCTGTGACCTGTACATATACATCCAGATGACCTGAAGTAACTGAAGAATCACAAAAGAAGTGAAAATGGTCCGTTCCTGCCTTAACTGATGACATTACCTTGTGAAATTCCTTCTCCTGGCTCACAAGCTCCCCCACTGAGCACCTTGTGACCCCTGCCGCTGCCCGCCAGAGAACAACCCCCTTTGACTGTAATTTTCCACTACCTACCCAAATCCTATAAAACGGCCCCACCCCATCTCCCTGTGCTGACTCTCTTTTTGGACTTAGCCTGCCTGCACCCAGGTGAAATAAACAGCCTTGTTGCGCGCGCGCGCACGCACACACACACACACACACACACACACACACACACACACAGAAAAGCAGACTCTTGGCCAGGTGCCATGGCTCACGCCTGTAATCCCAGCACTTTGGGAGGCTGAGGAGGACAGATCGTTGAGATCAGGAGTTCAAGACCAGCCTGGTCAACATGACAAAACCCCGTCTCTACTAAAAACACAAAAATTGGGTGGGCATGGTGGCACGTGCCTGCAATCTCCGCTACGCAGGAGGCTGAGGCAAGAGAATCACTTGAACCTGTGAGGCGGAGGTTACAGCGAGCCGAGATCATGCCACTGTACTCCAGCTTGGGTGACAGAGCAAGACTCAGTTTCAAAGACAAAACAAACAAACAAACAAAAAACCAAATTATTGAGTCCTCTGTGTGCTCAGTACCATTCTGATGAACAGAAAGAAAGACAAAACAACAGACGCAAAGGATTTCTGCCTTATGGAGCTAATGTTCGAGCTTCTATGTGTTCATTTATTCATAGTAGGAAAAAGTTACACTGAATCCTACAGGCTTCCATCTGTACCTCACACATAGAAGGCAGGAGGGCTATTTAACAGGTATTTAAGAGAGGGAAACTGAGGACCCAGAAAGATTGAGTGACATCTCTAAGTATGTAACTATTGAGGGGAAGAGGCCCTGATCTGGCCTCTCATGTTCGGCCAGTGCAGTCTTTTCTCCTCATACAGCCACAGTGCACAGCCCGTAACACTCAGCCAGGGGACGGCAAACCATGAGCCAGGTCTGGCCAATGCCTGCTTTTATAAATAAAGTTGTATTGGAACACAGCCCCACCCATTTGATTGCATATTGGCTAAGGTTGTTTTCCCACTCCAACTGCAGAACTGAGTAGCTGTGACAGAGACCACCTGGCCCACAAAGCTTAAAATATTTGCTATCCAGCACTTTATGGAAAATGTTGGCTGATCCTTGCACTAAAGCTATTTCCCAATATTTGAATCTTATCTTAGATAAAAGGACAAGAGGAGGTAATAATGCTATAATTAGAAGTGAACACTCCTAATTTTGTCTGCCTGTTCCCACCTACAAATCTATCTGATGTGCACCCATCCTTACCTCCTTTTCCATCTGTCTGTCTCCCTAGGAGATGCTCCCAGCTGAGCTAGGTCACACTCCCTTCCGCGGCCTCCCAGGCCTCCCTCCAGTCATCACCCTTCCACCTCTCCATTTGCATCACTCCAACACCTCCTGGACCAATTTAAAATTTAGAACATCTTCAAGGCCCTCCCATTTGGGTCTTTCCTTGGCTTCCCCCATGCAAACAGAAAATCTGATTACTATGCCCTGTCCAGGAGAAATTTTATGGTGCCAGACCCCTGGGAGAACTGTCAGAGCTTGGAGACACGGAGGACTCAGGTTTGGCAGGCACTGGAATTCCTTCCTTCCTTCTATTCTTCCTTCCTGGCTCCCTTCATTCTTCCTTCTTCCCTCCCTCTGTTCCTCCCTGCCTCCCTTCCTTCCTTCACTCCTCCCTCCCTTTCTTCCTACCTTCTCTCCCTCCTTCCTTTCTTCCCTTCCACATTTATCCAGCTCCTCTTATGCCCCAGGTAGTTTTGGGATTTGGAACTATAAAGGTGAAGCCCTCAAGATGTTTCCATATATCGCAGGGATCAGGAGAGTATAAGAAGTGCTGGGATAGAGAAAAATGTGATGGGAGCATAGAGGAGGGTTATTCCCATCTTGGGGGTGAGGGAGCATGGAAGGAGCCAGTGTGGAGAGGTATGGGTTGGGCAGGAGGCGGATGAAGAAGATCCTTGGGTGCTGAGCTAGGGAAACCCAGCTTGATTCTGAGAGCGATAAAAATCCTTTGAGGACCCAGGCAGGGAGTGAGGTGACCAGGCACTCATTTTAGAAAGATCCCTAACAGTTTGAGACCAGCCTGGGCAATATAGCGAGACCCCATTTCTCCAAAATAATAAAATGAAATAATTAGCTTGGCGTAGTGGCATGTGCCCATGGTCCCAGCTACTCTGAAGGCTGAGGCAGGAGGATTGCTTGAGCCTGGGAGGTCGAGGCTGCAGCAAGCTATGACTGCACCACTGCACTCCAGAGGGTGCACTCCATGGGTGACAGAGGGAGACCTCATCTCTTAAAAAGAGAAAAAAAGAAAGAAAGATCCCCAGCATCCACAAGAAGGAAGGTCACAGGAGCTAGCCTGCAGGTGTGGTGGCCGTGAGGAGTGGCTCCTGGAGGATTACAGCCTCTACTGCCCCCATCTCCACCCCACACCTGTAGATAAGTGTGCACAATGGAGCCTGTGCGTGCTAACTGCTTGACATGCAGGAACTCCTTTAGCATTTATAGTAATTCTTCAACAGTGGAAGAACTGAAGCTTAGAGAGGGTACGGAATCTCGTCAAGGTCTCCAGCTACAAGTGGCAGATCCGGGATTCTGACGTGGGTGGTTTGATTCCAGGGCTGGGGCGCTAACCACTGCTCTACCTGCTAATCTCCTAAGGGGAGGACAGCAAGAATGATGAGGTGGGGACAGGTTCAAGGAACTCCAGAGGGGTGAATACTGGTGGGATCTGCAGGACTTTGGGACCAACCTGATGCGGGGAGAGGGAGTGGTGACAGGGAAGAGGTGGCCATGGTTCTGGCTGGGATGGGGTCTGACTGGTAGGATGGCTCTGGTGATGGTGATGAGTGATGCACAGGATCTGGTGGGAAGGAGATGTGTGCAATTGTGACAGCTGCTGTTGGAGGAGCCCATGGGGTTGTGCAGCTGTCAGGAAGGTCACTGGACACTCGGGTCTGGAGCTCCACTGAGCACTATGACAGAGGGAAGAGCTGGGGGTGACTGAAGCTCCAGGTGTGGAGGCAGCCTCCAGAGAGAGTGTGCAGAACCCAAGGACAGTGGAGGTGGGGCGTTGGGGGTGCTGGGGAGAGGAAACTGACAGGAGGGGCGTGAGAAGAAGGCTAGGAGGCAGAGTGAGAGAGACCTGGGAGGCTCCTTCAGGCTCAACAGCGGACGAGCTGGGAGTGGGGTTGGGGCACCAGTGGGTAGGATGCTGGCAGGGTGGCTCTGCCTGCCGCCAGGAGTGACAGCCTTCCCTCCTCTCGGTCCCATGGCTACAACAGCATTAGAACCCTTGGCACTTGGTTTAGAATCCCCCTCTACACTACTCGTGCTGTGGCCAGGGCTGGGCTTGGTCAGCTCTGCCCCTCAGCCCTGTAGCTAGCCTGGTCCATGGCAGGTGCCTGGAAACTGCTTGTAGAGAGGAGGAGGAGAACATGGGTGGAGTCTGTGCTGGCAGAAAGCCTCAGTTATGCCAGCCCTCCCCTGCCCAGGCCCCTACGGCCCCCTGTATACCACTAGTGACACCTGGCCTTGCAATCAGCCAAGGTCTTGAATAGCACCTGAGACCCATTAGGGCACCGTGATAGGGAAATAATGGTGCAAAAAATAGGGCATTCGTGAAACCAAGTCCAGCTTCCCATCGACCAGTTTAAAGAATCAAGTGGCAAGCTTAGAGCTTCCCCACATGTGTCAGGAGGAACAGAGATCAGGGGAGCGAAAGAAGCCACAAAGTCTACAGGATCGCTGGCCTGGCACTCTAAGCCCACCCACTGCCTTTTCACCAACTGGCAGAGTCAGGCTAACATGACCTGTGATCTTCAAACTACCTATTCTGACTCCTTGAAAATAATTTACAATGTTTTTCCTCAAAAGGTTTTACTGTCACTTATTAGGAAGAAGCCTTCTTTGGAGTTCGAAATGGGAATTTGAGGACTGTTCCTATTCTACCCAACAACAGCGGTGGTTTTCCTTAGCCAAAACCAGCCGGAATCCAGCCCCCAGCCTTAGGTGGGAGAACAGTATTCTTTCCTGGTGGGCTGCCCTTCGTGGTACCAGACCCCTTTGAACTCGCCCAGCAAATTCTGGCCCTTAAGACTGCACTCCCTGACAGCTGGCTTGACAGATTTCACCAAGGGTCACTTTCAGTCAATTACCTATGAGATCTGTGGGATGAGATTTGGACCAAGAACTGCAGCAACCCCTGGTGGGGATGAAGAGAAAGGTGGCGGGAAGAATGCAAGCTTCCACCTCCAGTCTGGATATGACCTGGCTCTGAGTCCCCATCTGGAAGGGACATGCCACTTTCTCCCCTCACCCTGTGCCATGGGTCCCTGTAGCCATTTAGCACAGCGGGTTGGACAGCGATGACCTCAGGCAAGACAGCAGGTACGCCGGGCTCCGCTCTGTGGCGTGGGGAGCCCTGCCGTCAGCGGGCTGCCGTCCGCGGGTCACCAGGGCGCCTGGTGACTGGGTGTGAGAGGATCAGCCCCAATCCCTCCCCACACCCACCTGGTCTTCTCCACAGGTGAGCAGCAGCATCTTAAATCCCAGGGGGCCCAGGCTGGGAGACCCATCCCAGAGCCTGCAGGCCCTTTGGTTACAGACAGGACACCAAGACCCAGAGTGCAGAAGCGACAGGGCCAGGACACGCCGTTGAGGGACAGCTCACTACTGAATGAGTGTGGGGAGTACCAGGTATGTGCACGTGGGACCATTGTTTTAGTTGTGCGTCAACACAAGAGTCTCTGATTCTTTCCATCAGGAAACGAATGCAGGGTTCGAATCAGCCATCTAAGAGGGTCTGTGCCCCTTCCTCAGAGTCTGTTGTGCCATCTGTAGGAAGGTCAATGTGCTTAAGCATGTCAAAAGGAAAGCAACCAAAATGATGAAGGCTTTCCAAATCTTGTCATATGGGGACAAGATGAATACTGGGGATTTTCACCTGGAGAAGAAAAGACTCAGAGAGTGGTTCAAATACAGACTCCTAAGATACCTGCTTGAGTCTAAATTCTGGATCTGACATTTGCTAGCTGTGTGACCTTGGGCAAGTCACTCAACCTCTCTGTGTTTTTATTTCCTCATTTGAAAAACTGGGATGGCTGCGCACGGTGGCTCATGCCTGTAATCCCAGCACTTTGGGAGGCGAAGGTGGGTGGACTGCTTGAGCCCAAGAGTTTGAGACCAGTCTGGGCAACATAGTGAGACCTCATCTCTATTAAAAGTAAAAAGTTAGCTGGGGATGGTTGGTAGTCCCAGCTAGTCAGGAGGCTGAGGTAGGAGGATCGCTTGAGCCCGGGTGATCAAGGCTGCAGTGAGCCATGACTGCACCATTGCACTCCAAACTAGATCCTGTTCCCCTCCTCAAAAAAAGAAAGAAAAAAGAAAAACAGCAATGATACCTGTATACTTCATAGTGCTGTAAAGATGAAATGGGTGAATATTTGTTACATGTTGAGAACATAGCCTGGCACAGAGTGAGTATCATATCAGTGTTAATGATAAAAGCATAACAGAGCCATGAGAACAAGTTATAAAGGTCTGAGGAGCTAGCCAGGGGGAGAGAGACCACAGCAGCTGTGCCTGGGACACAGGACTGGGGAGGGCTGGTATGGGACACCACCAGGAGACCGGACTTAGACTCAGGGAAAGGAAGAATGTTCTAATCATCAGAACTGTCTGATGACCACCGGAGGTGGTTGCCTGGAGCAGAGCAGTGAGTTCTCATTGCAGCAAGCATTCGGGGAGAGGCTGGGGACCTTGCAGAATTGCAGTGGAAGGGACTCCGGCTTTGGAGGGGGGCCCAGTCCTAGGATGTGCAGGCCCTCTCCCATGTCCTTTACCCTCAGAGCGCCTTACCTTGCCCGAATCGAGCTGTGCGGTACACCTCCTCCACGCCGCGGAAGCCGAGCATGCGGCACACCACATCTCCGTCCTTCTTGTCCCAGCCGTCGTCACACACGGTGCCCCAGCGCCGGTCGTGGTACACTTCCACGCGGCCCTCGTGCGGGCCTGAACCGTTCACCAGACGGATCATCATCGGGGCCTCCACGCCACCTGCCAGAGCAGCCGACTGTCACTATCCAGCTCTGGACACACCAGGACCCGCCCCCAGGGGCCTTCTGTGACTCCTCATATCCCTGGGTAGGAGGAAGAGAGGGCTGGGGCCCCGCTATATCAAGACTTCAGCCCCCAAATCTCCCTGTGCCTCGCCTGCCCTTTGCCAGCCTTCTCTCCACCTAAAAAAAAAAATAGCTTTTTAACAGTACGGTGCTGATACAAAAACAGACACACAGACCAATGGAACAAAATAGCCCAGAAATAAAGCTACACACCTACAGCCATCTGATCTTTGACAAAGTTGAAAAAATAAGCAGTGGGGAAAGGACTCCCTATTTAATAAATGGCGCTGGGATAGTTGGCTAGCCGTATGCAGAAGAATAAAACTGGACCCTTACCTTTCACCTTATACAAAATTATGTAAGTCAAGATGGATTAAAGATTTAAATTTAAGACCTCAAACTGTAAGGATCCTAGAAGAAAACCTGGGAAACATTATTCTGGACATTGGCCTTGAAAAAGAATTTATGATTAAGTCCTCAAAAGCAAGTGCAACAAAAACCAAAATTGACAAGTGGACAAGTGGGACCTAATTAAACTAAAGAGCTTCTGTACAGGAGGAAAAAAAACCCAAAAAACTATCAACAAAGTGAACAGACAACCTACAGAATGGGAGAAAATACTATTTGCAAACTATGCATCCAACAAAGGTCTAATATCTGGAATCTATAAGGAACTTAATTCAACAAGCAAAAAACAAATAACCCCATCAGAAAATGGGCAAAGGAGGGGCCAGGCTTGGTGGCTTATACTTATAATCCCAGCGCGTTCGGAGACCAAGGCAGGAGGATCACCTGAGGCTAGGGCTTCAAGACCAGCCTCAGACTGGGCAGCATGGGGAAACCCTGTCTCTACAAAATAATAATAAATTAGCCAGGCACAGTGGCCCATGCCTGTGGTCCTAGCTCCTCGGGAGGCTGAGGTGGGAGGATCACTTAAGCCTGGGAGGTTAAGGCTGAGTGAGCCAGGTTTGTGCCACTGCACTCCAGCATGCATGACAAAGGAAGACCCTGTCTCAGAAAAAAAAAAAAAAAAGTGGGCAGGAGACATGAACAGATATTTCTCAAAAGAAGATATACAAGCAGCCAACAAACATGAAAAAATGCTCATCATCACTAATCATCAGAGAAATGCAACTCAAAACGACGATGAGATACTGTCTCATACCAGTCAGAATGGCTATTATTAAAAAGTCAAAAAACAACAGATGCTGATGAGCCTGTGGAGAAAAGGGAACGCTTATACTGTTGGTAGGAATGTAAATTAGTTCAGCCACTGTGGAAAGCAATTTGGAGATTTCTCAAAGAACTTAGAACTATCATTTGACACAACAATCCCATTACTGGGTATACATCTGAAGGAAAATAAGTCATTCTACCAAAAAGACACATACACTCATAAGTTCATTGCAGAACTATTCACAATAGCAAAGACATGGAATCAAGCTAAATGCCCATCAGCAGTGGATTGAATAAAGAAAATGTGGTACATATACACCATAGAATACTATGCAGCCATAAAAAAGAACAAAATAATGTCCTATGCAGCAACATGGATGCAGCTGGAGGCTGTTATCCTAAATGAATTAACACAGGAACAGAACACCAATACCTCATATTCTCACTTTTAAGTGGGAGCTAAACACAGGGGTGGGGGCAGGAATTCAAGATGGGGGAGGGTAGAAGAGGGGTAAGGGTTGAAAAACTAACTACTGGGCACTATGCTCACTACCTGGGTGACAGGATCATCTATACTCCAAGCTTCAGGATCACGCGATATACCCAGGTAACAAACCTGCACAGGAACCCCCCGAATTCAAAATAAAAGTTGGAATAATAAACAATAAAATAAAATAGACTTTTTTAAAGAGTAGTTTTAGGTTCACAGAAAAATGGATTGAAAGGTACAGAAAATTCCTGTATACACCACCCCTCCCCCTACACACAGCCTCCCCCAATATCAACATCCCCCGAGAGTGGTGCATTTGTTAGACACTCAATGAACCTACACTGATGCATCATCATCACCCAGAGTCCACAGTTTACATTTGGGTTCACTCGTGGTGCTGTGCATGTGATGGGTTTGGACAAATGTATAAAAACATGTATTCGCCATTACAATATCATACAGAATCTTTTCACTGCCCTAAAAGTCTCCTGTGCTCCACCTATTCAGTGGGACTATTCATGTCTCCCTCCTCCCTACCTCTGGCAACCACTGATCTTTTTACTGTCTCCATAGTTTTGCCTTTTCCAGAATGTCATAGTTGGAATCATACAGTATGCAGCCTTTTCAGATTGGCATCTTTCACTTAGTGATAAGTAAGTGAACCTTCATGGAAGGTTCCTTCATGTCTTTTCGTGGCTTGATAGCTCCTTTCTTTTTAGAACTGAATGATATTTCATTTTCTATGTGCACCATAGTTTACTCATCCATTTACCTACTGAAAAACATCTTGGTTGCTTCAAAGTTTTTGCCTGGATGAATAAAGCTGCTGTAAATATCCATGTGCAGGTTTTCATGTGGATGTCAGTTTCAGCTCATCTGGGTAAATATCAAGGAGTGTGATTACCAGATTTATCTCCACTGTTTGAGACCCGGTGACCAGCAGCCTTGCCTGCCAGGGAGGAGGGTGTAGGAGAAATAGGAAGCCAAGGATGGTTAAGGCTTTGTGGGCAGGTAGCCTTGCTGTGTCCCGGGAAATGTCTTAGCCCTGATTTGGTCGTTCATGTTCACTTTCCCACTAGGTTGTGAGTGTGAAAGTGCTTTAAGCCAGAGAGAGCCAGTTGTGAATTTTGGTTCTGCCACTTACTATCTGCAACTGTGAGACACATTGGTTCATCAAATCTGAGATGCCACCTGTTGTAACGGGCACCTCACTGTTTTATATGCCACTAAGAAGGAAAAAACTCTGGTGTAGGTGGCAAATTATGTCAAGTGCCAGATGCTTCCTGATTTCACAGATATGTAAATGTGTGTCACAGAATCAATGAAACATGGCAATAGATGTGAAGAGCTCAGAATAGCACCTGGCACATAGTAGGCCCTTTCAACCTGAATGACTTTAAGTTAGCCTCACAACCTCTCTAAGGGCATTTCCCCAATTTGCGACATGGGAACAACATCCACACTGCAGGACTGTCATGCAAACACAACGCAACAAAGTTAAAGGGCTCTGGGCACACTCCTGGCCCATGGAAGCATCAGCAATGCCGGTCTCTTCCCCCTTCTCTGAGGGCTGAGCCCCTGCCACATTGATCTCTAAACTCAGTGCTTAGCACACAGCCTGGCTGGAGGAAATGAAAAATCAAAGTTTGCAGAATGGAGTAGAAAGTCATTTCTGAGCATTACAATGCATTTGTTCTCCAAGGGGAAATGTTGGTGACTCAAAGAACACCAGAGCAACTGAAAGAAGCCTTTGGATCATCACAAAGCCAGGGTTTGGCTGGGAAGTCATGGTCTCAGGGCGATACACATGGTCAGTGCCAGAGCTGGGATCACAGCTTGGGTTTCCTGATGCGTCTTCCCATATCCTTTTCACCATCCTGCCTGCCCCACTAGTCTTGGGGGCTGTTTCCCCTGCTGGCACCTAACCTGAGCGTCCTCACTTGATAAGATACTGGAGTGGTCAGTGGGTCTTTTCAAGATCATTAGGAACACTAGATTCCACAGCCAATCCAGACCTACTGAAAGAGAATCTTGGTGGCAACAGTGAGGGATCTATGTTTTTCCAAGTGTCCCAAATAATTCAGAGATAATTGGTTCGTGGGCTGTGGACTGGCATTTGGATTAGACGATCCATCAGCAAGGTTCCTTCTAGCTCCAACCCTCAGTAATCCAAGGTCAGAGAAGAAATCAAGGTCATCTCTTTTTAAAGCCAGAAACCACTGGTGTCATGTGGGTGGGGGTGGACATTGTACTGGAACCCAGTGACAAGTGGGTGACACAATGCAGGAAAATGCCTATGTGAACTACCAGAGAAAATAACAAACCTACTCAAGCCCTGCTACCAATAAACGCGGCACTCTTGGACTTTTGTTTTTCCTTTATCTTTTATTTGGCCAAGTGGGCTGGAAGGAGCGTCCTTTTAATGACTGTGATTTGGCAAAGACCTTCATAGGTCCTGAAGGAGATGGCAGAATTCACATCTGTGCCCCATGAGAAAGGAGAGAACTCAGAACTGGCCACATGCCTGGGCCAAGAAAACCCTAGAAAATTCTGCAGAGGCACCAAAGAAGCCACCAGGAAGCGACCCCAGTCCCAGGAAGGATGCTAAAGACTACAGCGAGAGCACCAGGGATGCCTCCTCTCGATATTGGATGTATTTGCTGTGGATCCTGCATCCCTGGCCAGGTGACCGTTCTCTCCATACAGACTGCAAATACAAACTCATGCAGGCTGTCCCCAAACAGGCTGAGGCTGCGCGAGAGAAGAGAGATCCTGGAGAAGAAAAACATGGAGAGGAGCTGGAATTCAGAGGCTGGGTCTGACACCAAGAAACTCCCTGGGAGCGGTAAGGACAGGCTAACCTGCAGCCAGCAGCACCAAGGGGGACCTGGCTGCTGCGTGGGGGCTTGGCCCTGGGTTGGCTGAGGCCAGGCTGTCAGCCCTGGTTTCTCACAGACTTGCCTCACCTCTGGCTGCACCAGGGGGCCTACAACAGAAGCCACAGCATGGAGTCAGCAAGTAGGGCAAGAAGTGGCAGGAGGATGCTGTGAGTCCCAGAGCAGGCCAGGCAGAGGTCATGTGTGGGGTCAAAAAAACAAGAAGAGGCTGGGTGTGACTAGGCAGCCAAGGCAGACGGTTGGAGACTCCCTGACTTAGCCTCTCTGTTCTGGCCAGCCTGAACTCACTTTGTGCACCTACTTGTTTAGCCAAGTAAGTGACTAAGAGTCTATTAGACAGCTATGGATATGCCCATGAACAGAGTCCCTGCC